AGTATCTACATATATCAAATTCTACGGCTTAAACTAATACAATGTTTTATGTCAGTTCTAGCTTAATAAAGCTGGGAGGGGGAGGAGATATTTTGAGAATGTCCAGACATCAAAGACCATCCAGAAAACATTTAATGTGTAGCTATTAATGTAGTTTTTTAAGTAAGACTCTATCTAATGGGTTTTATTTGTCTCTGATCATGGATGGATAATTTTTGCCATTCAGAAAGAAAACATTTAATGTATGACATGCACACAGTGTAAGGAAAAAAATAGCTCCCAATGCATGCATTTATATTTCTTCAATATCCCAGCCAAAGCAATATTTCTTATTGGATTATACTGAAGAGTATAGGTTTATGTCTTAGAAAAAAAATCTTCATTGAGCTATAAAACTCTGTACAACTACTTGTTAATAGTCATATGGTTCTGAGATCCCCGGTCAGAATAAAAGAATCCATCAGCAGATTTTGTAGATTTTGTATTTTCCTGATAGTTTCCAGGTTGGTCACTGCCCACAAATCTTATGCCTTCTTCTCTCCTTTTGTGTAGGAAGGCTAACCAGTCAGTGGCTACCCCTGTGAACTCCACTTAGCTACTCTTCAGTTAACAGGTCTCATTTCCTATTATATAAACGTGTGCACGTATACACACTCACACACACACGCACATGCATCCCTGCTCTTGGGTGGGAACGCGTTTATTATCAGTCTTACTCGTTCTGATTCTGGTGGTCTCAGGACTTAGAGGACTGAATGAGAGCTTCCCTCCACAGGGCGCTTGGGGACCACTTACATTAGCTAAGCATTATGGTCCCCTGATGAAATGTGCTAAATAAAAAATGTTTTCAGATGTTGCTAGGAACGCATATAATCTCTCCTTACTGTAAAATCCTCTACAACTGTTAATATGCCTGAAGAACATGTGTTTATACTAGCATGGGAAGCTCTCCGTGATGTGCTGTAATATGCAGATTGAATGACATATATAACAGGATGCGCAGACTTTTCTTTATACAAAACACCATTCAACAAAAGGTGTTTTTAAAGGCATCAGTTCTGTAGCATAGATTGTAGTTCCTTACAGCTGTTTGCCTTTTTGTATTCTATTCCTTAGACCAGAATATTTTTTCTGCGTGATGAATTCCTATTTATTCTTTCAGAACTTAACTGAAATGTAATCTGTGCAGCTGGACCTGAAATCCCAGACATAACGAGTCTTGCTCCTAAGCATTAATGCCCTCTGTCCTCACACTCATAGCGCATCTTGTAATGATTGGTTTATATGTGTATCTGTGCTCCTCCTGGCTAGTGCGCGCTCCTATCAGCCAGGCCAGGTTTGAGTATAGAACGTGGCTCGACTGAACAGGAAAATGTCTCCTTATTACGATATGCATGGAACATTTGGGGAGCTCTTTTTTCTCCTGGGTTTGATAAAGATACATCCAGGGTATTCTGTGATTCCATTTCTTTAACTCTTATCCATATGATTGTTAAGATTTTTTTTTTTAAGAGCCTTATTGAGGGATAATTTTATAAACCATACAGTTGGCCCACTTTAAGTGTACAGTTGAATGGTGAATTAATTCAGAGTTGTGCAATTGTCACTAAATCCAATTTTAGAACAATTCCATTACCCCCAAGAGGATCCTGATGGATATATTTTTAAATACTGATGGAACTCTCCAGAAACTTGTGTAGTGGGCTGAATTTGGTGACCTCAAAATGGGTCACTGTGGCTCCATGCTTAAAGGAGGCCCCGATGCTTAGTGGTGCTGCAGCCTGAAAGAATAGTGCATGCTGGCCATAAGGGACACTGATCTCTCTTCAGAGGCTTGCTCTGTGACGAACTCTCATTTGAGAGTCAGAATATAATAACCTGTAATGGAGATACCTTCTTTATTTAATTTTACATATGGACTCTGCAGAGGGGAAGGAAGTTAATTTGACATCACACTTATAGTTAAGCGGAAGGGCTGGGATTTGAACTTGAGCCCGACTGCACCACACTTGGCCTAAACATTCAGTAGCTATATTTTGAGCAATTACTATGGGCTTCTGTAAAAAGGGAAATCTTAGGAAACATGTAAGCAAATTGGAAGAGTCATTTAATCTGAAAAGAGAGGAGGTGAGTATGGTATGGAAAAGATCAAGTCTGAAATCAGCGTTTTCTTTGACTTGTTCCATCCAGTTTGGTTTGAGGACCAGTGGGCATATCCTCAGTTGGGTCAGCAAACCTAGAAAAGAGAAGAAACAGGATCATGTTGTAAAAATTATAAAGTAGCAGAGGCCATTTGGGCTCAGCATAATCTCTGAGTGAGTTTGCTTTGGGGATTGTTTCATGTTTTTATAAAAAATTTTTTAAAGATTTATTTATTTATTTGAGAGAGAGAGTGTGTGAACAGGGGAGGGGGCAGAGAGAGAGGGAGACATAGACATAGACTCTGAAGCAGGCTCCAGGCTCTGAGCTGTCAGCATGGAGCCCGATGTGGGGCTCGAACCCATGAACCATGAGATCATGACCTGAGCCCAAGTAGGACACCTAACCGACTGAGCCACCCAGGCGCCCAAGGGGATCCTTTCATCTTTAAGTCTTAAAATGTTAACGTTGCTTGGTCTGTATCAACATATACCGTCAACTGGTCAACTTTATGAATTGGAATCGGGTTTGGCTGCTGTAACAGAGACGTAGTAGTGGCTTAAACAAGGTAGAAATTTATTTATTTTTTCTCTCAGATAGAAAGCTGGGTAGGTAATCAAGGCTTGGCATCGTAGTTCTCCAGGCATTAGGGTTCTGCCTCTTTATCTCCTTACTCTGCCACCTTTATCACACAGCTCTCGTTTTGAGGTTTAAGTGGGTTCTTTAGCTCCTCCTACCACATCAGCATTTCAGCCCTCAAGAGGAGGAATGTGTGAGGAGGGGGACATGTGTTTTTCTTTCCTTTAAGGGCATGACCAGGAAGTTACATGTGTTACTTCCAATCACATCTTGTTCTATAGGATGTAGTCATTGGGCACATACCATGTCCCCCCCCCCCCATTCTATCATGACAAGTTTAATATGAAAAACGTAGATTTGTATGTAAGAAGGAGGAAGATGTGGAATGCTTTAGGCCAACTCTTTCTTAGCATTTCTTTTTTTATCTGGGCCAGAAGATTCGGCCAAATCCAAAAACTTCTGTCAAAACGATTCCCCTAGGCTTTGAAGACACTTCTTTGTTTCGAAGTTGGCAGTGCGTCAGTCTATCTTTCATGATGCAGTGTCATTTTGAACTTGTTTTTCCTGGAAGAGTATATGCAGCGGGCTCCCGGCCTGACATCTGGGTTGGGAGTGCTGCCTAGCAGATTCTACCTTGGTAAAGCAGAATACATTTTCTGTCTTCAAAATATTTCTAGGAAAAAATTTATTTTCTCACCAAAGTACTGTTTTCATTAAGACATAGTAGTATTCACAGTAAAAAGCTTAAAATTCCTAGGTTTGGCACGCATGCAAAGCATGTGACAAAGCACCGTTTGCTTCTTAGAAAATTGATGATATCTGGGGGCACCTGGGTGGCTCAGTTGGTTAAGCATCCGACTTCAGCTCAGGTCATGATCTTGCAGTTCATGGGTTCGGACCCTGCATCCGGCTCTATGCTGACAGCTAGCTCAGAGCCTGGAGCCTGCTTCCAATTCTGTGTGTGTGTCTGTCTGTCTGTCTGTCTCTCTCTCTCTCTGCCTCTCCCCCATTCATGCTCTGTTCCTCTCTCTCTCTCAAATAAACATTAAAAATTTTTTTAGAAAAATAAGTAGATGGTATCTGGGAATCAAGAATTCATGTTCTAACCTCAGTCTTAACTCTGACGTGGCCTTGACCAAGCCAATGGGTGTCTTAACTTAGTTAGCAATATCTTTAAAAATTTTTAGTGTTTATTTATTTTTGAGAGACAAAGAGACTCTGAGAGAGCCAGAGTGTGAGGGAGGGAGGGCCAGAGAGAGAGGGAGACAGGATCTGATGCAGGCTCCAGGCTCTGAGCAGTCACCACAGAGCCCAACGTGGGGCTTGAACCTGTTAACCGTGAGATCTTCACCTGAGCTGAGTTGGACACTAACCAACTGAACCACCCGGGCACCACAAATAATATCTTAAAACACAGTTTAGAAGTAGCTTCTCTCTCATATTATATGTATTTAATCAACAATTATAACACCCTTTAAAAATGCAGGGTTTGGGGGAAAGGGAGAGAGGCAAACCATGAGAGACTCTTGAATGCTGACAAAAACTGAGGACTGATGGATGTGGGGGGGAGGGGGGGATGGGCATGGAGGAGGGCACTTTGGGGATGAGCACCGAGTGTTATGTAGAAACTAATTTGACAATAAACTATTTGTAAAAAAAAAAAAAAAAAAAGGTAAAAAAAAACATTAAAAATTTGTAAGGAAAAAAAAAAGAAAGAAAAAAAAAATAAAAATGCAGGGTTTTTTGGTTTGTTTTTTAAGGGTGAGTTTTCCTCACAACTAGTTAGACCAACAAGGGGAATGAATGTGCGGATACACTTATCATTTGCCAACCTGTCACTGACAGCATTCTTCTAATGGCTCTTTTAATAGGAAAAGATCACTTGAGCTCTTAAGATTAGAAATCTTCAGTAATCTAGGTTGGCAGATTTTTCTCTCGATAAAGTATGTTATTTTCCAGGCGTGCATTTTGGGACAGCTAATTTCACCATAAGCCCTTAATTATTTGAAGATCTCTGTGCCAGTATTATTTTTCAGGCAGGACCCATTTTAGCCAAGTTTACTGAAAGTGTTCCCAGTGTTCTCTCCAGTAATTTCATCTGATTCCTCTTTATGCACTCTTGACACAGCCAGATTATATAGAGTGTATAAAATAAAGTGCTGTCTGTCAAGTGGGGCGTGGCTTCGTGATTCCCTTCTGTTTGGGGTGGGTGGCTTCTCCTCACTCTTCATCTGTTGCCTGCATCCTCAGCTATCACGAAGGTTTTGTTTTCTCTTTTGCAGATGACACGATTGGTGCTGCCTGGCATGGTGGAAAGGTGAGTCACAGGCTCACACACAAACACCAGAGAGACAGAGCTCATGATTATTTATAGGGAGAATCCTTTCTTTGCAAAATTCATTAAAGTGACTAATGAACCTATCCCCCATGTCTTAGCAACAGAGTAACGTGCTGGGCGAGTCACACGGTGGAGCATGAGTCATCCGGTGGTGGAGGCCTTTTCCACTCGATTCCCTTTTTATTTCCCTCTCCAGGGTTGTGGTGGTTCCTTTAGATCAGGATTAAAAAGTCTGCCTGAGTCACCATCACTAACTCAATTGCCTGCTATTCTGAGGGGGTGGATAGAGTTCCTGGGGTATTCCTGGGGATGCCTTCTTAAAGCTATATGCTCTCAGAACTAAACTCAGAGGAGTTTCACAAAGCAAGATCCCATCTCCTGGTTTTTTAGTTCTAATGGGTGAATGGATATGTGGGGAACTTAGTCATGTTATAACATGGTTATGAGAGGTGAGATCTGCCCTTAGAACAGAAGGCCACACCTTGGAGCCCCATCTGGGTTCCAGTTTGAGTGAGGTTCCACTAGGATATGTGAGGTGTCTTCATTTTCATTGAGAAATGTGTTGTAGAGTTCTTCTTGAAATAGCAGGAAGTGTAAAATTGTAATTAAACTCTGGTTTTCCCTTGGAAAAGCCTGAATGATGTCTGGGCTTTCAAAGAAAACCCGTTGAAAAGATCTGGGCTTGCATCTTGAGCGAGCTTGATCATTTGCTAAATTTAGGGCTTCACAGTCATCCTTCCTCTGCAAAAGAGCTTTGAGTTTGGAAGAGGTCCAAAGGAATCACAGCTTCAAGAAGGGCAGGCCCAAAGACCCTACTTCTGTGAGGAAACCTCTCTGACCAGCTGCAGGCAGGGCTTACAGCTACTGTTTATTGAGCACCTATCGTATGCCCAGTGTTGTACCACAGACTTGATATGTTAACTCATTTAACTTTGATAACCTCCCACGTTGTATGAAGGAAGAAACAGGGTTAGGAATCCATGTTGCTTGGGATCTACAGGGACTGGTTGAGAAACTGCGTCTTAGCAGTTTTTGTTTGTAACTCCATTTTGTCTCAGATTTGTAACATATATTTTTTAATCTTTATTGATTTATTTCGAGAGGGAGGGGGGAGAGGATCCCAAGCAGGCTCTGCGCTGTCAGCTCAGAGACTGATGTGGGGCTTGGTCTCACAAACCATGAGATCATGACCTGAACCGAAACCAAGAGCTGGATGCTTGACCTGCTGTACCACCCAACTGCCCCTGAAGTTTGGTATATTTTAATTCCTTAAAACCTTAGACTGCCTTGTGTTGGTTGACAGTGGCTGTGTGCCCCTGATGGTCAGAAACGGAAGTGACAGACAGTAGTCAAACGAGACAAAACCCCAGGAGATGGCAGAGAATTGGGCTCGACAGAGTAGTACTGAGGAGAGATGAAATTTCTGCCGTTATCTGAATGCAGTTTTGACATCTACAAGCACGTTGACGTTAGTTCAGGATAATAAGTCCATGCATTACAAATGAAATACTTAGAAATCACAGTAGCGTTATGAAAGGAATTTTTAAGGAATTAAGTACTTTGGTAGAATCCGTATCAAAAGAGATAATGGGGCACCTGGGTGGCTCAGTCACTTATGCGTCCAACTTCAGCTCAGGTCACGATCTCACAGTCCATGAGTTCGAGCGCTCCATCGGGCCCTCTACTGCAGGCACAGAGCCCGCTTTGGATCCTTTGTCCCCTCGCTTTGCCCCTCCTCCCCATCTCTCTCTCTCCCTCAAAAATAAACATTAAAAAAAGAAAGATAATGGTTGTGAATTAATTTTGGAGGTCATAATGGATTTAAATAGTCATGGAATTGTAGTACTCTAAATTAATTGAAACCAATCACCCTTATTTGATAGATAGAAGGTGAGTCCCAAAGAGATTGAGTGCTATGAAGCTTCATAATTAGTAATGGATACAGACAGAGGGTGCTAGAAACTTCACACCTGTCTTTATAGACCTAGGCGGCCATGACCACATTTAGAGCTGACACATTAGATAAAAATAATGCAAAAAAGAGGGTCCATTCCTTCAGCAGGCACTCACGGAGTCAAGTTTATCCTGGAGTGTACAGAAGATGAACTGGATCTTTGTGTTTAGGGAGTCAAGTGGATTTTAAACTAAGATTGAGAGATGGTCTGATGGAAAACCATCAGACCATCATAAGCTATGGACTGACCCTGACACCACAAGGGTGAGTGTGGCACTTGCTAAGAACTAGTAAGAAATGTAAGTGGACTTTATGAATCAGTAGTTTTGGTTAGGAGAGGGAACAGCTATGTCCCCTTGACCTAAAGGAGTTACTAGTTGTATTAATTAAGGCAGACTATAAGAGACCACCTCTCTCCTACACAGCCGCTGTGGGTCAGGGCTTGGGGCTGTGCTCCACACAGGCATTCAGGGATGATCTCAGGCTCCTTCCACGCAGGGCTGCTCTTCCCTTGGGTCTTGCAGCTCTCGCCTGCACTTTCTGCAAGCAGCTAGCAGACGAAGGAAGAGAGAATAAGGGTGATTTTACGGGAAGTTTCACGGGCCAGGCCTGGAAGTAGTGTACATCCCTTCTGCCAACATTCTGTTGCCCAGAACTCAGTCACCGGCTACAGCTAACTGCAGAGGAGGCCAGAAATGTTGTTAGTTGTGTGCCCAAGAGGGAGAGAAAAAACTCGAGGGTAACCGATCATCTGAAAGCCTTCTTATTTACACTTATAAGTGACTTTATTATACCCTGCCCTTTACACAGTCCTCAAATGGCGTATTTCCTATGGTTGTTTCCATAGGATTCTTATTTCCATTGAGTAACAGCCGAGTCCTTTATAAAGATCCTTTATTGTTGTTGTTTTCCCCTTTCACTGATTCTACCTCTGATGTATGAGATTTTTCCAAACCCTCTAGAACTATAGCCTAGGGCCAACTATCACTAAACAAGTATCTATAATTAGACTAAGGTATTATTAGCATAGAAGTAGAAAGTGCATAATTACATTAGAGAGGAAGCTTGCTCTTTCCACTTCTCTGGAATTATAAACATTGTGTATAGCTGGAGCCAGGAGGTGGTTGCCATAACAACCATGGAAAAGCTAAAAATAGCCCCTTTCATACTGTATTGCTTCAGGTGGAATTATGACATGTTATGGTGTTTTAGGGCAGGCAGTGCTCTTTCATGTGGTAAATGTTTGCAAACTTTCTCCAGCAAAGCAGAATCTATATAATGTACTTGGATTGCTGGTTCTAATTATATGTCTGACCCCTCTGTTCCAGGATTCTTTTCTGACCTAGGACTCTGTTTTGATACGTTTCTTAGTCTTCTTGAGAGTCTCTTGGTGAATCGTCTTTACCAATTTCAATGTTGTGGTTTATGCTTAAAAAAGAAAAGTAACGACCCTTCAGGAGCACATTTCTGGACTCCGTGATAAGAAATGGAAATAGGAAGAAGCGCCATGAATCTCTGTGCACAGTCCCCCTTGCCTGCCGTCAGACTCTCCGAATACAGTTAGCACCCTACACTGGAGTCCCCCCGCCGTGGTCCAGTTCTTCACGGTAGCCTTACACCTCTCCCATCACTCCCTGCATTGCGGGGCAGTGCTGGGGTACCCGAGGAAATCAGTGACTTATTCAAGGGAGACCTGTCAGTTCCTCTGTGGCAAGAGTATTTGTATAGAGCTGTAGACAAGGGTACAGCAACAGTCTGATGGAGTAGGGAGCATTTACAGAAAAATAAAGACCTGGCAATGTTTTTTAAGTTTATTTGTTTTGAGAGAGAGTGAGCAGGGGAGAGGCAGAGAGAGAGAGAGAGAGAGAGAATTCCAAGCAGATTCCACAAGGTTAGCACAGAGCCCAGGATGCAGGGCTCGAACCCATGAACCATGAGATCATGACCTGAGCCAAAGTTGGACGTTTAACTGACTGAGCCACCCAGGCACCCCAGCTTGGCAATTTTTTTGTCCAGATGACAATGAAGGAGGGTGTTAGGATGGGGCTGTCACAGGTCTGAGGGAGTTCTACCAGACAGCATAGCTGCAGGAAGCTGTAATTACAAGATGCTGAATTTTATAGGCTTGGGTGAGTTTAATGTTTGGCTTGTGAAAGGGCTAGTGATGGAAGAGAATATATTTCTATGAAAAGGTGCTTCCTTGTCAGCAGTGGTGTTTTCTGCTTTGTTTTTGCAGTATTTCAGCTCTGGTGGGTCCTCGGTAATTTGCACTACTGAGACACCCACGTGTGGCTTTTGGCACATAAGCAGCGTGATGAATTAAGAATGTTATATCACAGAAAATATTACCCGATTTATTTATTTGGATGTTTGTCATAACAAACTGGAAATGTGCTGAAGTATAAGCAACGTGAGCCTTCCTTATGAAACTTCAGCAGATACTGTTAATGTTCCTTCCAGTCTTAGAATTGTTCCCTAAGTCCTCAGAAAATGAGAGATTAACTAAGGTTTGGTTTTATGTTTGTTTTCGTGTGCAATTAAGCGCAGCCCATTTTGTCCTTCTGCTTGATCTAGCAGAGCTGTCGTGAGTCGGCCTGTGCCATGGAAACTAGTTTGACGTCACTAATTCTGCTTAGATGGAGGATTAGAGGCAGACGAAGTAGTTGATTTTCAGGACGAGTCCTTTGTGCCTCACAGTCCCGAATGTTCAGCCCCATCTCTGCATGAAGACTAGATACTGTATACAGTACGAGGATGAAGGTGGCGCCACCTGCGTGCTGTTTATGATTCAGACAAAACTAAGTTGAATGTTACTACCCTTGGAGAGAAAGAGAATTCTGTGCTGTTGTGTATGTGGGTGTGGGCGGAAGGCTTTTGCTAGGCAAATACGTGTGCTTCTTGTTAGCACAGACTTTTCCTAGAAGGGGTGTTTCTCTGCTGTCATTATGATACAATTATACATGCTACCATTTTATTTCCTGAGGTCTACTGTGTTCTTGCGTTAGACTTTGTTGGTCTTGGGTTTGTTTAATATACTCTAGAGTGCAAATACTGTGTTTTGAATAACGTTCCCTCAAATTCTGCCTCTTCACGAAATCGAACTGACTCCACCTCCCAGAAATTTTAATCAGGGTAGAATATTGGAGAAACAAAGATCTTAGTTGCCTCAAGGAGTAAACGATGAAAGGAGCATCCCTGAACAATTGCGACATATTTGATTATTGGTCTATTATTTTTGAAAACGGGAAAGAAGTTTTTACTGTCTTTAAACACATTTTCCTGGATTGAAATCATTGTTTTGGGGAGTGTGTTTTGATGAGATCAAGATTTAATTTTTAAAATATATTTGATAACATGACACTTTAATTTGGGAAGACTTTTAGGTTGTATCTCATTTATGAGAAATGAAATTTAAAAATGTAAGATTTCTGTTCAAGGGCACATGTAGCCACCCCAGCCAATCTGAGTATAAGGGAGCACGTAATCCAGGTGATAAAAACAGTGATGTACTACAGCTTCAGTGAAAAACAGCATCATCTGCAACTAGCTTTTTTCTTCGTTTGCTCTGAATGAGTGAGGCTATAGCAATTCCGGGTTATATGAAAAGTTAAAGGAAAATGCTGCCTAAAAGCTAGAAGGATGCATAGGGCTCAGGAAGGGGGTGCAACTTATTGTGATCTGGGGTTACTTCTCAGGAAGCATTCAGGCTTGCAGAAGATACCATAGCTCTCTTAGCTTGCACTTGATTGGGACCTGCTCTGAGCTTATAGGCGACACATTACAATATATCATAAAAAGACTTCTCTCTCTTTCTTCTACAGATTTATTGAGATCTGTTTCACATACCCTAAAACCCACCCACTTAATGTATACAATTTGGTGGCTTCTAGTATGTTCACAGAGCTGTGCAGCCATCACCAGAATCGAATTTGAGAACATTTTCAACACCCTAAAAAGATAAAGATGTTCTAAACCTCATAAATTAATACTCCATTACCACTCTCCAGTAACAGAAGTGGCTTTTAGTCAATGTTGATCAAAGGGGTTTCTCACAAATAAAGATAAAACCTTAGATCCTCATTGCTAATTACTGGTTTTTATCTTCGAGCGACAGGGTTCTACCTCCTGATAGACACTCTTACTCTCTTATCGATATTTGAAAACAAAAGGCTTTTTTGTCTCTGAGATGCAAGCAGAACACACAAGAATGATATAATCAATACATTGACTAAATATTTCCAACTTTCTTTAAAACCCTAATATAACATTTTTAAATTTGAGGTTTGATTTCTGTGACCAAGATGTGGGTGGAGTTCATTGCTTAGGAATGCGTATATGACTAATAAGGACTTCAGTTCAGAAATAAAAACCAAAGACAATTTGTTTCCAGTGACACAGTAAGTGGAGGGTCCAGACTCTGCTTGATGGTCGAAGTGGCATCTCGCCTAGAGGATGGCAGATGGACTGGGTGACCTTTGGGGATTATTTCTTTTCAGATTTATGTCTAAAATAAACTTAGATGCCATTTAATCATGTTTCTGTTATTATTTTGCATAAAAAGGGTCTGTGTAGTCCTTTTTAAAAAAAATACTGAAAAAATCGGTCTTGGGGGAGGTAAATTCAGACAAAGGACAAGGAGAGTCTGTGTGGAAGGAAAGGAACCTGACCCAGAGGACAGGAAGTAGGTAGGGTTGTTTGCAGTGGCTGAAGGGGACTGCCAGCCCCCTCCACCCCCTCCCCTAAGAAGAATGAGTTTGGGGGGGAAGAGTTGGTTGTTAATTGTTTAAAATTCCTGAAACCCTAATTTGACATTTTACCCAACCCAACTTGCTAACAACTAGTTTATTTGGGGCATTGCTTTGCTCCAATTAACTTTCATTCATTAATCAAATTAGTAATTCCTGGTCACTTTCTGACTTTTAGCTTTCAGTAGTCTCTGGAAGTTACAGTAGAAATTGACCTTTGTCCTTTGGCAGAGAATATGGTTGATCTCCTCTAGAGTCACATCACTTTTCAGTCAGCAGTCTGTTTAGTGCCTGAATGAATATCTACAACCTAGAGGAAGCAGAAGGACAGAACCTAACCGTTCACTCATTGCCAGGAGGTTTTATCAAGTACCTGTTACATGCTCACGACAGTGCCTAGTGTTTGGAGGAAAAGTATAAGACAGCGGCTACGATGTCCAGAAGCTTATGGCTTGTTGAGGGAGAAAAGCATTTATACACAGCAAGGTAGTATGTGATGATAAGCGAAAATAAAAGCATCAGAGGATTATGAGAGCATTTCCCAGAGTGAGGGTTCTTGGTGCTGTGGCCAGAGAATCTCTCAGATGGGAGAGATTAAGTCGAGGAGACTGTAGCTCGGATCCGGTCATGCCCCAGATTACTAAAACAGAAATGAGCTAATTGCAAACAAGAGCTATTTTTAGTTGATTGAGTTATGCCTCATTCACTGACTGGGCGTATCATGTGCTGATGAAAGGCAAGGGGTGATGTGTCTTAGAAAAACAGTTATGTTCTCCTGTTCCAGGCAGTTCTATGTCTCAATCTGTAATTTACAAACAGTTGCATATGTGATTTCATTCTGCTGACTTGGTGCATTTTCCTCTTTAGATCTAAAGGGGCAATTCTGAACATCTCCTCTGCCAGCGGCTTGGTCCCTGTTCCACTGTTGGCCATTTACTCTGCAACCAAGGTGAATAATTTTTTAGTGAATCGTGTCAGAATAGGAATGAGGAATACTTTTCGCTCTGAGAAATAAGCATGGAAACTTCTTGAAGTTCTATTCTTGGCCCTTTTCAAATGGACTGGGAAGAACAGGGAAGGGGCACCATGGTCTCAGAACCACAGATGCTTTTTTCTCCTCTGGTGGTTCCTGGTACAGGCATGCCTCATAACATGATGTTAATGATTGGGGATTTGGTCCATGAAGGCGTCAGCTTCATCCAGCAAAAGTTAACCACGCTGCAGAGCTTAGTGGAAGAGTTTGCAGCCAGTCAGGACATAAATACACACAGTAGGCGCAAGATAAGGCTGGATGAGAGTGTGAGTATTTTGCCACATTGTTCAGAATTCATAGATACTTATTATCACTTCTGGAGTGAGACAAGAATTTTCTAGAACTCTCTATAAGCGGTCATAATTTTATACACGATCACCATTCACCTGTTCACATTACTAGTAGGAAAAATCAATTAGAACACATTTCCTGCTGCCTCTAGGGCCATAGCATCTTCATATACATTGTTGAGGCATAGGCTCCATCCCTGAAATGAAAATGACCATTGAGATGCTCCAGTTAAACAAGCTTTTAGGGAAAAATGAGCAAGACATAATCCACTAAGAACTTAGGATATGTCAGAGAAGGAAAAGAGCAAAACGCCTGCTTTCTTTTTCATTTGGCTCTTTGTCCACTGGAAACTCGTGAACAGTGACTACTGTGTTGAGAAAGCTTGGCGCTACGCCCCACTCCTGCAGTCGACTTGCTTTCTGTGTCTCTGAAAGATACAGAGGGGACGTTTCACGTGAACATCCTGCTTCCTGAAGCGATTGTGGGACTTGAGCCTCTCACCTGTTCCGCTCCAGGGCCACAAGACTGTTATTAATCGGGACCCTCGTGGAGTCATCATTGATACTTTGCATTTTAAGCCTGAGGCTGAGTCCATATTTGAAAAATGGTACATTATATTTTACAATAGATTTAAAGTTAAACTATCAGAAGAAGATCGGCTGTCACATTCATCCATATGCTTCTTGGATCTTGCCGTCCCCAAGGGCCAAGAGGAAGCTTGCTCTTTTCTTTTCTTTACTGACAACAGAATCCCTCCAGAGGAAAGTCGAATGGAATCCATACTGTGTTTCTGTCTGAATGGCAAGTGGGGAGGAAGAACCTGTCCTTTGTTACATAATAAAACATTTCTTCTTGGAAAGTAATTTTCTGAAAAAGAAGACCCTTTTCTGGTTAAGTCACAATTTGATCCAGAGATTCTGTTTAGCAAGAGAATACTTAATTTAGTGGCAGAGAGAAACAACCTGAGGCTTTGAGGTGTTTTTTAAGGTCTCTTCTGCATGTGAAATAAAAAGAGTGATTAGGAACTCGAGTGTTAAATGGTTAGGTTGTTATTTTTGTTGCCATGGCTACAAATCAGGCCGATTGATGTAACGTGTGTGTCTCCTTCCCACTCTCACCCCATCCCAGGCTTTTGTGGATTTCTTCTCTCAGTGCCTCCATGAGGAATACAGGAGCAAGGGCATCTTTGTGCAGGTGAGTGGGGGTTGTTTCAGTTGCCTATGCCTGTTTTTGTGTGGTTTCCACAGCAACTGTTGCTGTCTTGGCAACGAAAGAAAATCACATTCCTAAGGAGGTGAGTGTGACGTTAGCACACCGTTACAGACATGATTTCTTTTTCTTTTATGCACTTTAAGTCTAGATTAAAAAAAAAATTATCCCCTAGAATTCTTAAGTAGGGGTCCTTAAAGTAGAACTAAGCGCACGCTTTTTTTTTTTATACAGTTTTATTTTGAGAAAATTAGATCATCTGTATCTCTTTGCTGCCAGGTGTGCAAGGTGTATGGTAACTCTGTCCCCAGAGCCACTGGGTAACACCCGCAGGGTGGAGGGCTGAATAGAACTCACTCTGTGCAGAGCAAGGATGACCGCGTGCACCCGGAGGCCTTTGGTGTGGTAGTGAGCTTTAGCTTTTTTTTAAAATTGTAGTAAAAGCACATCACAGAAAACACCATTTAAATCACATTCAAGTATTCGGTTCAGTGGCATTAAGTACATTCACACTGTTGTGTGGCCATTAGCACCGTTCTCTCCTGAACTTTTTCATCTTCCAAAACAACTGCTGTGTTTATTACACAGTGACGCCTCGCTTCCCCCTCTCCCGGGCCTGCGCAGCCTGTATCCTACTCTCTGTCTGAATTTAGACTAGTGCGGGTACCTCTTATGGGTAAAATCATGCCATATTTGTCTGTCTGGCTAATTGCACTTCGTATACCATCTTCATGTTCTTCCATGGTGTATGGCATGTGTCAGACTTCCCTTCCTTTTAAAGGCTGAAGAACATTACATGGTGTACATACACTGCACTGTGTTTATGCGCTCATATGTTGTTGGACATTCAGCTTGCTTTCACCGATTAGCTGCTGTGAATTATGTGGCTGTGAACCTGAGGGGTACGCCTATCTTTTTGAGACCCTGCTTTCAGTTCTTGTAGGTTTGTTCCCAGAAGTGGAATCACTGGATCAGGTGGTAATTTTATTTATATCTGTATTTCTTTCCCTGAACAGCCTTTTTTCCCTAGTAGCTTACCTATTTCATACTCCCGCAACAACGCACCAGGGCCCCAGTTTTTTTTATATCCTTGCCAATACTTATTTTCTGCTTTGTTTTTAGTTTTTAAATAATAGCGGTCCTAATAGGTAGGAAGTGGTCTCTCATTGTGGTTTTGATTTGCATTTCCCCAGTGACTAGTGGCGTTGAGCACCTTTTCAGCCGCTCGGGCCATTTTATCTGTTCTTTGGAGAAACAGCTATTCAAGTCCCTCACACTTTTTTAATTGGGTCGCTTGCTTTTCATTGTTGAATTGTAGGAGTTCTTTATGTATTCTGGATATTAATCCTTTAGTAGATATATGGTTTGTAGATATTTTCTTCCACTCTGTGCATTGCCTTTTCACTCTATGGATAGTGTCCTTTGACACACAAAAGTTTTTAAATGTGATGTAGTCAGTTTATCTATTTTTCTTTAGTTGCCTGTGTTTTTGGTGTCCTAGGTGAGAAATCATTGCCAAATCCAACGTGAAGCCTCCCCCTATGTTTTCGTTTTAGAGTTTTATAGTTTTAGCTTTTACATTTAGGCCTTTGATCCATTTTGACTTAATTTTTGTAGAGATCTTTGATTTTATTATGTAGCTAACAGATACAGTGCTGCAAAAATAGAATACAAAATATGAGAGGAAGCAAATGTAGGAGTTTTCTTGAGTATCTGTCTTAAGGCAGCTGTTGCTCAGCACGAAGAAATAATGGCTCACGGTGTTTCCATGCTCAGGCACGTTTTCAGCAATGCCGTGGGAGGAGTTTGCAGCTGTTACCCCTTTCCCGGTCCTGCTCACGACTTGCCCCTGCTGGTTCCCACACCCCCACTGTTCTTCATGGCTTTCATTACTGTGAGCCTAGTGTTTAGATTTTTGCATCCCAAAGCCCCAAATGATCAAGTATCGTAATAGCTAGTATTTCAGGCACAGGGCAAAACCCTTTATACGTGTTCATTTATTTCATTTCGTCTCGTTATGATTCATAAGGTGGTGTGATTATCATCTTCTTTAAATGTATGGAAATTGGGGTTAGAGAGGTTAAGCCACTTGTCCATGTTGAGCCAGGACTCAAATCCGAGTCTGTCTGGCACCCAACCCTTTGCTCCTCATCACTGGGCTCCTTACTTGAGGCCTTTAGGACAGTGTTGAACACATTGGATCCGTCTGTGCTTAGGGAGTTATAGAATCAGAAGGTGATTGGCTGCCCAGTTCCATTTCCTCCCTTGTATGCTTAGACAGTCAAGATGGCCCTAAGTGTCGCCTGCATCTAGCTTCTACAGCCTTTTATTCTATGAGTGGATAGTGTAGCCCAGTCACCCTCAGTGAGAGGGGGTGGACGATAGGGAAAGGTTAGATGAAGGTTTCCTCATCCTCCGGGGGCCATCTTGCAGTCCGCTTCCTCCACACCCTGACCTGGGGTCTCGCCCACGTGGTCCTTAGATGTCCTAGCCCTGTGGTGTTATTTTGATTTGCAGCTTCCCATAAACGTAGGGTACATTGAGGAACAAGACAGGGTTTTCGAGAAGCCTGAATTTTATACCAAACTACGGTGCTCCGTCTTGCCCCCGTGCTCGTGCTCGTAACTGAAATCTGCTACGTAGAATGTGGTCTGTTTTGGTGACAAGGAAACGGTAAAGCATCCAAGGGAGGGAAGGTGCCACATGCCACACAGTGTTGTGTCATTTCCTCATTCTGAGGAGTCGGCTGTGATCTAGTTATTAATTTAATAATCTTTAAACACCTACTGAGACTAAGCGGGAATCCTGCAGCTCCATTGCCGGGTGACCTTCAGGCAGCAAGGCCAGGAGCTGGAAGTGTTTGAGTGACCGAAGGGCGCACCCGCACTGTGAGCACAGATGAGCGGTTTCTAACACCCCCCACAAACACCCCGAGCAGACGAGACTGTCTCCTCTCTCCTCCCCACAGCCTGTTTGCCTCAAAGATCTTTTCTCCATGCTCTCTGCCTGTTAATCTGGTGTGTCTAGAGCTACAACAAAAACACATTAGCATTTGTTTTTTGAAATGTTTAACTTTGATAAACTTGTTTTTCCCCAGTAGTAAATATCAATTATGTAATTTCATTGATCATTGTCTTCCTTCAGATAAATTTATTCAAGCTTTAAGTGCAGTGTGAATTTGGCGGAAAAATGAAAACTCACACGTTTGGGAGAGAAAGTAGAGTGGCCATTTCTGTGTGAGCGATTTCTGTGTGAGCACATCAGAACACCGAAGTGGAATAGAATCTCGTACTCGTTCTGACCAAAGGGACAAAAACATCTGGTCTAAATGAAGCTCAGAGTTAAAAACTGTTGGGTTTTCTTTGGTGGTGTTTTATGTCTGCACATTTTTTGGGACCAGGAGTGTTTATCGGCAATTTCTTCTTCCGCTCCATGCCACGTACTGTTTGCTGGGTGACATCGCTTCCCTTCACGGCCCTCCCGTGGCTGCCTGCGGGGTTCAGGGTTGGATCCAGACTCCATCCACAAGGCCATGGCCAGAGTGGACGTCGTGGTGCCTGGGTCATGCTCTGCCCTCGGCAGGGCCCAGGGTGGGCTTCTTTGCAGGCACGCCCTTCCCTCTTCACCCCCCCAGCTCCCCGTCTCCCAGAGCCTGTGACCCCTATTGTCTTTCAGGGCTCAGGCCACACTTCACCAGCCCTGGGGAGCCGAATGCCGGCATGTGCCATGCCTTTCCTTCTGCCCTCCTGCTTTTTATTTATACCTCAGCCTGACACGCTCTGGCCCCCTCCCGACCTCCCCTCCCGCTTCAATGTATTCTTGGGATCTGGATTTTTTTTTTATCTTCTTTGTCTCTGTGTTGCTAATGGCATGTGTGATTTGGGGCATTCTAGGGACCTGCCTTGTGCTTGTATCATGGAAGACTCTGCTTGTCCACGGCCATGCTTCACCATACACAGACACTCATTTTAAGGTTTTTTGTTGTTGTTGTTGTTGTTGTTTGTTTTTAGCTTCTTCTCTTGCTCCCATATGCCTCTGGTCTTGAATTTTCACCCTCTGTATCTAGAGGACTTCCAGGCTAATGCTGTGTTGCCAAATTTCAGTTTCTTCTACTCCTTGGAGAGGAAAGCTATCTTTCCAGGTCTACTTCTGTGTGAATGTGTAGGACATTGTCCTTTAGGGAGAGGGAGAGAGTATGTTTTTTGAATTCAGGTTGTTTTATATTAATTCCTTGTTAATGGTTTTTTTGTTTTGTTTTGGTTTTGCTTTTTTCATTCCTACAATTTTGTGAGAGCAGTTAACATTTCCTTCCATGAATTCAGATTTGCCAGTAAATAAGCATTTTCTGGAAAGGCAAATAACCAGTGGAGACAGTAAATGGGAAAAAAAAAGGCGAATTGGACATAAATTCTGTCTATGTTTTTGAGTTTTGAATTGAGGGTAAGAAGTTCATTCTTGAGTCAACCTTGTCAGAAGTGTGTTCTGTTGGTAAGGACTGTCTGTTCTCATTCTCGCCCTATAATTAAAGCCCAGTCAGAATTATGCTTAACTCTTTCAAAGAGCAAAATCCTAAGTGATCTGACTGGCTAGTTAGTGGGCCCCAGTACCAGCTCCTTCTGTACGCCATGTACCAACTGGCCACAGATGCTGAAAAAGTATAAGAAATAGGTAAGACTCAGACAGCCCCCTGAAACTATCCTTCCTGAACTCTTCTTCTGTAAAACTTTCACAAACCTAGTTTCTGAAAAACTTCTTATTCGGAAATAATTTCAAATCTACAGAAAAGTTGTAAGAGTAAGAATAATACAAAGAACAATCCACTTTACCTAGAGTCACTTAATGTTATGCAATTTACTCCATTTGCTTTATTACGGAAGAGTAAGTTGCACACATCATGGTTCTTTACCTCTGAATACCTCAGTGTGCATTTCAAAGAGTAAGGATATCCTTTTATGTAACCACAAAGAGTTATCCACTTCAGAGTT